CACAACACAAGACTATATTACTACAGAAATACACAACACGAGACTATATTACTACAGAAATACACAACACGAGACTATATTACTACAGAAATACACAACACTAGACTATATTACTACAGAAATACACAACACAAGACTATATTACTACAGAAATACACAACACAAGACTATATTACTACAGAAATACACAACACGAGACTATATAACTACAGAAATAGATATAATCAGATGATATAAAAAGTTCATCAAGCCTATGAATTCTGAATGGATATTAATATCAAATAATTACCACCATGTATAATATTGATGAGTTATTCTACATTATTGGAGCAGTCAGGTAGTATCATTCATACATTCCAAGAAACGAAAGTTGAGGAGGTTCACGTTTTATCACGGCCACTGTGATATGCATAGATACTAAAAACTACTGAAGGTATTCCACAAATGATCCAATATATTTAGCACTGCTTGGTTTTTTTTTGAAATACTTGTAGCTACTACATTTATTGAAAGAAAAAAAATATACATTCTGAAGATTACCGAAATCTGTTATGTACAAACACACCTCCAACTGTTATCTTTGTTCACTATAATTTCAATCTGTACATTATCAGCACGAAAGTCTAATTGTGTCTACTAGTTTAATAAAGTGTTTCTGTACCGGTTTCACAAAACCCAAAATGCATAAATTACAAATCGAAGCTATATGCACCTGGTGATGTTACATAATAACTTACTTGGATAGCTATTTGTTTATACACTTTTCAAATATTTACACTTTCTAATCAATTGCAGCAACAAGAACGTATCCCACAATCAAGATTTTGGCAACCGTTAGCTTCCAGTGGATATGGTCCTTCTTCAATATGATCACAGTAATACAAATTTTCGGCTGCTAGTTCTGGAGCCGTGTTTACCACATCGCACAAGTTTGGTCCAGTTATATTCCAGCAGCCTGAAACATCTAAATGCTGCAGGTACTTAAAAAGTCCAGAATCGGCAAGTAAGCTGAAAATAAAATCAAGATGACAATCAAAAATGGAACATATTTTTGTAATTAATCGAGTTAAAGGATAAGTACTCAATTAGAAATAACAAATAATCAGAAAACATAATGAATAAGATGCTCAGAAAGAGGCCTAAGGAGTAAAGTAACAATCTGACGAAGTGGATATCTTGTTCATACAATACTTCAAAGAACTATACTTAAAAACAATATTTCTGTCAGGGATTCAACACACCACCTCTTTTAAGAATTTGACAAAAATTAGACCTACAGTAGTATTTATAGAAGGGTCATTTGAAGCTTTTGTTAACTACCAATCACATTATCTTGTTTCTATTACAAGTAGTTTGTATATGAAGAGTAATTGTTCTTAAGTCATACTGCAATTAATAAAATATCACTAGAAATTAAATTATTTAAAAAAAACAATCATGATAAAATTCACGAGTTGTGTTATACAGTGTCTACATTCACATGATAATATGAATATTTTTAAAATAGTCAAGCATTTGATATTCAAATGAACTAAACAACTATAACACACTTGTTTACATAATGTCATTACTTAAAATAGTTGCATTTCTAGGTATAGCTACTTGTTTGTCTGCACATATTTTTAATCAAAAGTATTGTATACTTTACCTTCAATTTTAACACTAATTAAAGCTATTTCCTGCTTAACACCTAAAACTATGTGTAAACTAATTCATCTTAATGGCCAGTTTCTAATTCCAGACTTTCAAAACTGTGTGAAGTCTAAAATAATAAAAAAAAGCATTAAATTGAATGGATTACAAGTTAAGCATGTAGTGATATACGAGTAGACTACCTTTACTGGATTACAAGTTGAGCATGTAGTGATATACGAGTAGACTACCTTGTAGTGATATACGAGTAGGCTACCTTGTAGTGATATACGAGTAGACTACCTCTACTGGATTACAAGTTGAGCTTGTAGTGATATACGAGTAGTGATACACATAGTGATATGTAGTGATATACGAGTAGACTACCTCTACTGGATTACAAGTTGAGCATGTAGTGATATACGAGTAGACTACCTCTACTGGATTACAAGTTGAGCATGTAGTGATATACAAGTAGACTACCTCTACTGGATTACAAGTTGAGCATGTAGTGATATACGAGTAGTGATACACATAGTGATATGTAGTGATATACGAGTAGACTACCTCTACTGG